AATGTCCCCAGGTGTCCCCAAGTGTCCGCACCGCGCTGGGGCCCGTGCCAGTCCCAGAGCCACCACCCCGCGTAGGTGACAGTGACGATCCAGAGCCGCGTCCTCAGCAGCAGCAGCAGCGCCAGCACCGCGCCCGGCCCTCATTAGCATATTAATTACCCTTAATTAGCCTTCATTAGCATAAACCACCCCCGTTCCCGCCATTCCCCCCCCTCCCGACGTTAATTAACCCTCGTTAATCGCTGCTCTGTTAATTGCAAGCTCCCCTCTAAGGGTTCATTGAAGCCTGCGCGTGTTAATTAATTAATTAATTACCGGCGGATTAATTATTCTCCCCTCCCCCGTGAATTGCCCTCATTCGAGGTTAATTAAACCCCGTTAATTGCGCTCTCTCTCCCTTCTAAGGGTTAATTTGCTTCCCTCCCTGTTAATTAGCCGGCTCGGATTAATTAATTCCCCGTTAATTAATTAATTACCCTCATTAATTGCCCCACTCGGGGTTAATTAACCCCCCCAGGATTAATTACCCCCCTTAATTGCCCCCTCCGCTTTTAACCCCATCAAGCAACTCCTCATTAATTAATTAATTACCACCCCCGGTAATTAACTGCTCGTCATTAATTACTCTTCTAGGGCTTAAACTCCCTTTCCAAAGGGTTAATTATCCCTCCCAGGTGTTAATTACCCCCTCAGCCTTAATTAACCCCGTTAATTACCGCTGCTAATTGTCCCCTCTACCTTTAACCCCATCAACTCCCCCTCTGCCTAATTAATTAACGCTTCTAATTAATTAATCCCCCCAATTAATTACCCCTCCAGGGCTTAAACCCCCTCTCCAAAGGGTTAATCACCCCTCGCAGTGGTTAATTACTCCCTCAACCTTAATTAACCCCGTTAATTGCCCTCTCTACCTTTAACCCCATCCACGCCCTCTTTCCTCATTCATTAACCCTTCTAATTAATTAATCTCCCCATTTAATTAACCCTCTAGGGCTTAAACCCCCTCTGCAAAGGGTTAATCACCCCTCGCAGTGGTTAATTACTCCCTCAACCTTAATTAACCCCGTTAATTGCCCTCTCTACCTTTAACCCCATCCACGCCCTCTTTCCTCATTCATTAACCCTTCTAATTAATTAACCCCCCATTAATTAACCCTCTAGGGCTTAAACCCCCCTCTGCAAAGGGTTAATCACCCCTCGCAGTGGTTAATTACTCCCTCAACCTTAATTAACCCCGTTAATTGCCCTCTCTACCTTTAACCCCATCCACGCCCTCTTTCCTCATTCATTAACCCTTCTAATTAATTAACCCCCCATTAATTAACCCTCTAGGGCTTAAACCCCCCTCTGCAAAGGGTTAATCACCCCTCGCAGTGGTTAATTACTCCCTCAACCTTAATTAACCCCGTTAATTGCCCTCTCTACCTTTAACCCCATCCACGCCCTCTTTCCTCATTCATTAACCCTTCTAATTAATTAACCCCCCATTAATTAACCCTCTAGGGCTTAAACCCCCCTCTGCAAAGGGTTAATCACCCCTCGCAGTGGTTAATTACTCCCTCAACCTTAATTAACCCCGTTAATTGCCCTCTCTACCTTTAACCCCATCCACGCCCTCTTTCCTCATTCATTAACCCTTCTAATTAATTAACCCCCCATTAATTAACCCTCTAGGGCTTAAACCCCCCTCTGCAAAGGGTTAATCACCCCTCGCAGTGGTTAATTACTCCCTCAACCTTAATTAACCCCGTTAATTGCCCTCTCTACCTTTAACCCCATCCACGCCCTCTTTCCTCATTCATTAACCCTTCTAATTAATTAACCCCCCATTAATTAACCCTCTAGGGCTTAAACCCCCCTCTGCAAAGGGTTAATCACCCCTCGCAGTGGTTAATTACTCCCTCAACCTTAATTAACCCCGTTAATTGCCCTCTCTACCTTTAACCCCATCCACGCCCTCTTTCCTCATTCATTAACCCTTCTAATTAATTAACCCCCCATTAATTAACCCTCTAGGGCTTAAACCCCCCTCTGCAAAGGGTTAATCACCCCTCGCAGTGGTTAATTACTCCCTCAACCTTAATTAACCCCGTTAATTGCCCTCTCTACCTTTAACCCCATCCACGCCCTCTTTCCTCATTCATTAACCCTTCTAATTAATTAACCCCCCATTAATTAACCCTCTAGGGCTTAAACCCCCCTCTGCAAAGGGTTAATCACCCCTCGCAGTGGTTAATTACTCCCTCAACCTTAATTAACCCCGTTAATTGCCCTCTCTACCTTTAACCCCATCCACGCCCTCTTTCCTCATTCATTAACCCTTCTAATTAATTAACCCCCCATTAATTAACCCTCTAGGGCTTAAACCCCCCTCTGCAAAGGGTTAATCACCCCTCGCAGTGGTTAATTACTCCCTCAACCTTAATTAACCCCGTTAATTGCCCTCTCTACCTTTAACCCCATCCACGCCCTCTTTCCTCATTCATTAACCCTTCTAATTAATTAACCCCCCATTAATTAACCCTCTAGGGCTTAAACCCCCCTCTGCAAAGGGTTAATCACCCCTCGCAGTGGTTAATTACTCCCTCAACCTTAATTAACCCCGTTAATTGCCCTCTCTACCTTTAACCCCATCCACGCCCTCTTTCCTCATTCATTAACCCTTCTAATTAATTAACCCCCCATTAATTAACCCTCTAGGGCTTAAACCCCCCTCTGCAAAGGGTTAATCACCCCTCGCAGTGGTTAATTACTCCCTCAACCTTAATTAACCCCGTTAATTGCCCTCTCTACCTTTAACCCCATCCACGCCCTCTTTCAAAATCCATCCCATTAAAAGAGGTCTAAGAGGTCTAAAAACGAAATTTTTGGGGATTTAAAATGGGGTCGGAATGGCCAAAAAAAGGCGGGAAAATTTTGGGGTTCGCTCCTTGAGGAACCCCAAAAATTTGGGGGAGACCCCAAAAAATTGGAACGGCCAAAAAAATCCCAAAATCCTAAAAAATTCCCGTTAAAAATTGTCTTAAAATAAGGGAAAAACTTAAAAAAATTGGGGGGTTAAAAGGGGGAAAAAAGGCGGGAAAATTTTGGGGTTCCCCCCTTGAGAACCCCAAAATTTCCTAAAATTTCCTAAAATTCCCTCTTTAAAATCCCCTAAAACCCCAAAAAATCCCCCAAAAATCTCCTAAAATCCAAAAAATCCTCCCAAAATCCCCCCCAAAAACCAGAACACGCCGAATTTTAAATCAATTTATTGGGATTGAAATCCATTTTTTGGGGTACAGAATTTTTGGGGTGCCCCCAAATTTTTTGTGTTTTTTGGGGGGATTCGGATGAAGCTGAGAAGCCCCAAAAATCCCCCAAAAAATCCCCTAAAAAAATCTCAAAATTCAAGTTTTTTCCCCGAATTTTGAGGTTTTATCCCTGAATTTTTTGGGTTTTTTTCCGAAATTTTTGAGGTTTTTTCATAAATTTTTGGGTATTTTTTCCCTGATTTTTTGGGGGTTTTTTCCTTAATTTTTGGGGGGGTTTTCCAAATTTTTTTAGGATAATTTTGGGGTTTTTTTCCCCTGAATTTTGGGGATTTTTTTCCCTGATTTTTCAGAGATTTTTCCCTAATTTTTGGGGTTCTTCCCTAATTTTTATGGTAATTTTGGGGGGTTTTCCTATTTTTTTGGGGTAATTTTGGGGTTTTTTTTCCTGAATTTTGGGGGGGTTTCCCTGAATTTTTGGGTGTTTTTTTTTTCCCCTAATTTTTGAGGTTCTCCCCTAATTTTTAGGGTAATTTGGGGTTTTTTTCCCCTAATTTTCGTGGTAATTTGGGGGTTTTTTTTCCCTGATTTTGGCGGCTTTTTCTTGAATTTTTGGGTTTTTGGCAAATTTTGGGGTTTTTTGAGATTCTCTCCTGCACGCAGGTGATGACACAGGTAACACAGCTGGGCTCCAGGTGACACAGGTGACACAGGTGACAGGTGACACAGGTGACGTCAGATGGAGATGCTCTCCTGCACGCAGCCGGGCTCCAGGTGACACAGGTGACACAGGTGACAGGTGACATCAGATGGAGATGCTCTCCTGCACGCAGCCGGGCTCCAGGTAGGGGTAGGGCAGGGCCAGCGCCGCGTTCCGGGCGCGGATCCGCTCCCCGACGGCCGCCAGGCGCGCCCGGAACGCGGCCAGCAGGCGCCCGGGGGCCGCCCCCGCCAGCAGGTCCTGGGAACGGGAGCCCAGGGGATGCTGGGGACACAGGGGACATCAGAGGGGACATCAGAGGGGACATCACAACCTCCCCTCCACGTCCCAGCAGGTCCTGGGACCGCGCGCCCAGGGGACATTGGGGACATCAGGGGACATCAGAGGGGACATCAAAACACCCCAGTGTCCCAGCAGGTCCTGGGAACGGGAGCCCAGGGGATGCTGGGGACACAGGGGACATCAGAGGGGACATCAGAGGGGACGTCACAACCCCCCCACCATGTCCCAGCAGGTCCTGGGACCGCACGCCCAGGGGACACAGGGGACACAGGGGACATCAAAGGGACATCAGAGGGGACATCAGAGGGGACGTCACAACCCCCCCACCATGTCCCAGCAGGTCCTGGGACTGCGCGCCCAGGGGACACTGGGGACACAGGGGACATTGGGGACATCAGGGGACATCAGAGGGGACGTCATAACCCCCCCTCCGTGTCCCAGCAGGTCCTGGGACTGCGCGCCCAGGGGACACTGGGGACACAGGGGACATCAAAGGGACATCAGAGGGGACATCAAAAATGGGGTCACAATCCTCCTGCCACGTCCCAGCAGGTCCTGGGAACGGGAGCCCAGGGGATGCTGGGGACACAGGGGACATTGGGGACATCAGGGGACATCAAAGGGACATCAGAGGGGACATTGGGGACATCAGAGGGGACATCAAAGGGACATCAGAGGGGACATCACAACCCCCCTCCATGTCCCAGTAAGTCCTGGGAATGGGAGCTCAAGGGACGCTGGGGACACAGGGGACATTGGGGACATCAGAGGGGACGTCACAACCCCCCCCTCCACGTCCCATCAGGTCCTGGGACCGCGAGCCCAGGGGACACAGGGACATCAAAGGGGACATCACAGGGGACATCAAAACTGGGGTCACCATGAGGTTCACAACCCCCCGGTGTTCCTGTCCACCTCAATGTCCCCAGTGTCCCAAATCCCCTCAATGTCCCCAGCCCCGCTGTCCCCAATCCCCCCGCTGTCCCCGCTGTCCCCTCTCACCGGCTCGCCCCCCTCGTAGCTGACCACGCTCAGCAGGGCCAGCAGGGCCCCGGTGGCCTCGGGGGACGGCAGGGTGGCCACCAGCAGCTCCTCGGTGGCCTCGTCCTCGCTGGCCGGCGGCGGCCGCTGCAGCGTGCCCGGCGTGTTGGGCATCCAGGCCGCGTAGTCGTACTGGGGAGGGGACAGCGGGGTCACCGGGGATCACCTGGGGTCACCTGGGGTCAGTTGGGGTCACTGGGGGTCACCCGGGGGTCACTGACCCCTGAACCACCCCGGGGTCACCTGGGGGTCATGGGGTTATGGGTGTCACTGACCCAAAACCACCCTGGGGTCACCTGGGGTCACTTGGGGTCAGTTGGGGTCACTGGGGGTCACCCGGGGGTCACTGACCCCTGAACCCCCCCGGGGTCACCTGGGGGTCATGGGGTCATGGGGGTCACTGACCCAAAACCAGGCTGGGGTCACCTGGGGTCACCTGGGGGTCACAGGGGTCACTGACACCAAAATGGCCCTGGGGTCACCTGGGGGTCACCGACCCCAAAACCGCCCCGGGGCCACCTGGGGGCATCAGGGGTCACTCAGGTGCCACTGGGGTCACCTGGGGGTTGTCACATCCCTCTGGCCATCGTGGCCACCAAGGGGCCACCCAGGGTCACTCAGGTGCCATTGGGGTCACCTGGGGGTTGTCACATCCCTCTGGCCATCGTGGCCACCAAGGGGCCACCCGGGGTCACTCAGGTGTCACTGGAGGTTGTCACCTCCTTGGTGGCCACCAAGGTGGGGCTGGTGGCCACAGCTGAGCCTGACGGCCACACTCAGGTGTCTCCCTCCCCCCGGTGTCCCCAGGTGTCCCCAGGTGTGTCCCTGGTGTCCCCAGGTGTCACCTGGCCGCTGTTGACGGCCGCGTGCCGGGCGGAGCAGCAGAAGAAGAGGGGACATCACCCAATGGGGCATGGCACCCAGCAGGGGGTGGCACCCTCCAGGTGATGTCACACACCGTGGAGGTGTCACCGAACGTGGTGATGTCACCATGGTGGGGACATCACTGAATGTGGGTGTCACCCACCGTGGGTGTGTCATCCACCACAGTGACGTCACCACCACGGTGATGTCACCCACCACGGGCCACCCTCACCGCGTCACCACCTGGGCCTTGGCCATGGACGTGAGCAGGGCCACCCCACCACTTGACCACAACAGCCATGACCATGACTAGGACCATGACCAGGACCATGACCATGACCATGACTTGACCATGCCATGACCATACCATGACCATGACCATACCATGACCATGACCATGACTTGACCATGACTTGACCGTGCCATGACCATGACTTGACCATGCCATGACCATGCCATGACCATACCATGACCATGACCATGACTTGACCATGACTTGACCGTGCCATGACCATGACCATGAATTGATCATCACCATGACCATCACCATCACCATGCCATGATCATGACCATGACCATGTCCATGCCATGACTATGACCATGTCATGACCATGAATTCATCATCACCATGACCATCACCATGACCATGCCATGACTATGACCATGCCATGACCATTACCATGACAATGAACATGCCACGACCACGCCATGTCCATGCAATGACCTCGACCATGCCATGACCATGACCATGATCACAACCATGCCATGACCATGACCACGCCATGACCATGCCATGCCATGACCATGACTTGACCATGACCTTGACCATGCCATGACCGTACCCATGCCCATGCCCATGACCGTAACCATAACCATGATCACGTCCATGACTGTGCCATGACCACGACCATGACCATGCCATGACCATGACAATGACTTGACCATGACCATTGCATGCCATGACCATGACCTGACCATGACCATGACCATTGCATGACCATGACCATGCCCTTGACTATGACTTGACCATAACCCCTCAGTGTCCCCTGTGTCACCTCCCGGCCCACCGAGGTGGCCTGGGGACAGCGCCACCCCTCAGTGTCCCCAGGGGGACTGAGAGGTCTGGTGACACCAAGGGGGACACTCAGGTGTCCAGGTGACACAGGTGACAGGTGTCCCCGGTGTCCCAGGTGACACAGAGGTGCCACCCAGGTGCCACGTGCTAGTGTCCCCGGTGTCCCAGGTGACACAGAGGTGACACCCAGGTGTCCCCGGTGTCCCCGGTGTCCCAGGTGCCACCCAGGTGCCACCCAGGTGTCCCCGGTGTCCCCGGTGCCCCAGGTATCCCAGGTGCCACCCAGGTGTCCCAGTGTCCTGGTGTCCCAGGTGTCCCAGGTGTCCCGGTGCCACCCAGGTGTCCCCGGTGTTCCCGGTGTCCCAGGTGTCCCAGGTGACACAGGTGCCACCCTGGTGCCACCCCGGTGTCCCCGTGTCCCTGGTGTTCCCGGTGTCCCAGGTGTCCCAGCTGACACAGGTGCCACCCAGGTGTCCCCGGTGTTCCCGGTGCCCCAGGTGACCCCCAGCTGACACAGGTGCCACCCAGGTGTCCCCGGTGTTCCCGGTGCCCCAGGTGACCCCCAGGTGACACAGGTGCCACCCCGGTGTCCCCGGTGTCCCCGTGTCCCTCACCTGGTCGATGATGCCGCCGGGGTTCAGCAGCGTCTCCCGCGCCAGGATGTTGATGTGGAAGGTGAAACGCACGTGGGGCAGGAGGAGCTGGGGACAGGGGACAGCGGGGGGACATTGGGGACA